GAAGTGACAGAAGTGATGAGGACCATGTACATATTTTGCTTTTACAGGTCGTAAGGAAATGTCTAAATCATTTTTCAGTGTTACAAAGTTTAGAGGTACTTTTAGGTACTATGAATTTCATTGATAATATTGATTATCAAGATTCTTTCATCCCCTCTTTTAGAAACTTTAGACTGAGAAGTCTTTATGTAGTAATAAAGTACAGATGTTTTATATTGCTTCCTAGACAATTAATTTCCTATTTGAAAGGGTAATAGTTTGTTAAATATCACAGTTTAATCTTAAGGGAATGAAACATATGGGCAAAACAAAGAACAAGGTAAACGGGGATTCTGACTGCACTGTTTTGTGGTCTCCTTCAGACTCTATCTCAAGCCATTTTCTACAGCTCCAAATGAGAAATGCAAATGCTAATGCTGCTGCATGCCGCTTATTTGTAGGTCTTTACAACAATTTCAGTTTCCAATAATACCATGATCATTGATATGATGAAACCGTTTCCATATAAGCTACTTGGCAAGGAAATTGAGTAATTTTATTTGTTTGCCACTAATTTGCTTAGAACTTGAACTTGTGAACCTTTTGCCTTAGCCTTTAGAATGCTGAGATTACGTACCTGCTCCACCAGGCCTGGAAGAATGCAATCTTTCTGTAATTTCATTGCATTACATGTAGATTTCTATTATTTGCATCTTAAAGGCCTGTATGGACTATTTCCGAATGAACCAATTAACTATTTTTGTGAAATATTAATTGAGCCTGCACATTAAAGTCATTTCATTAACTTTGTAGGAGTGCACAATAATGATAAAGTTGCTTTGAATCCTTTTCAAACGTCAAATATCTGTTAAAAGGAAAACTTATTTTTTTGGTGAGTCCTAATACTTAGATATAGAGCAGAATATTTTTTATTATCATTTTTATTTATTACTATTTATTCTCTTTGTATCCCAGCTGTAACCCCATCCCTCATCTCTTCCCAGTCCTACCCTTCCTCCCTCTTCCGCCCATATGTCCCTTCCCTAATCCACTGATAGGGGAGATCCTCCTCCCCTACTATCTGACCCTAGCCTTTCAGATCTCATCAGGACTGTCTGGATCCTCTTTCTCTATGACCCAGTAAGGCCACCTCGCCAGGGGGAGGTGATCAAAGAGCAGGCAACCTAGTTCATGCCAGTGGCTGCCCCTTAGAGCAGAATATTTCAAGATAGTTTGCAATGATTGATACATCGAGTTATTACATTTTAATTTTTCCTCTTTTGGACCAAGAATGGTGGCTAAGAGGGGAGGTTTTGGTTTCAACTTTAGTTCTACTATTTACAAATTATATGACTTATCTCACTGCTGAAAATGAGGCTAAAAATATTTCCCAGTGTTGCGGTGATGACCAAGTGGACTTTGTGGGAAGCATTGTTCATGAAACTAAGTGTTCCATACTTTATGGTGGTAGCTGGTAATATGGATCCATTAAAAATATTATGACATGGTGTTCAGAAGCTGCTTCATCCTATGTCTAAGATCCAATTATAACATCTAGTGGTTTTAGGGACAATATTGGTGTTAATTCATGAGAACTTTTACAATAAGATTTATTGGACAGAAAAATTTCCAGCCTTCTTAGAGAATGTAACATTTTTTCATAATTTGTTTCCATGGCAAAATATTTTAAAGGTTCCAAAGACAACATGGAAAGGAAGACATAATAAACGACACATTTTGAGTTAGGAAGTTCTAGAGAGTTAGCTTTTGCTTCTTCTTTGAGTATTAAATCTCCTGTCCCTTTATCTATCATCACTGTGTATCCCCTGCGAGTTCCCTCTTCTTGACCATCTTAATTATATCCAGACTGGACTCCAAAGGCTAAATTTCCTAATTTTCTTCTCTAAAACATCAGTAATGCCCTAAGCTATCTGCATTTATGCCAGTTAAATCAATGTTTGTATTTTTAATTTTAAACGTTTTGACTGTTCTTCCAAGCACCCTAAACATGTTTTTAAAAATTGCAATGAATTTCCAAAAACGTACTTATATGTTGCTTAAGAAAGGTTTTGTCATTTTCTATTTATAATTGTAATGCAATACAAGCAGAGAGAACTCTAGTAGGCGGTTTGCTTTAATGACTGTTTAGGATTCTCATCAGATACTATTGAGTAGCTGTATTCACTAAAAGACAGTATCCTTTGTGGAATCTCATATGCAAGTGTCTGTGAGTAATGCTTTATTTCCTTTCTAATTCTTTTGTTTAAGTCTCAGCCTGCTCCTGAGGTTTATATGAACTCTCACTGATAACAGATATCACTATGGCTGCATGTTGTTACTTTTGTTGGACTGATAGTTGATAAGGAAAAGCTCATCGAATTGCCTGCATATTTTTGAGCTTATTTTTATTTTTAATTTTTTAAATTTATTACAATTTATTCACTTTGTAGACCAGCTGTAGTCCCTCACTCATTCCCTCTCAATCTAGCCCCACTTCTCCTACGATACATCAACCCCAGTCCAGTGCTAGGTAGATCTTCCTTCCCTTCCATCTGACCCTAGCCCATCAGGTCTTATCAAGAGTGGCTGCATTGTTTTCCTCTGTGGCCTAGTAAAGCTGTCCCCCCTCAGGGGGGAGGTGATCAAAGAGCCAGCCACTGAGTTCAGGTCATAGACAGTCCCTGTTTCCCTTACTAGGGAACTTACTTGGAGGCTGAGCTGCCATAGGCTACATCTGTGTAGGGGTTATAGGTTACCTCTACACATGGTCTTTGTTTGGAGTATCAGTCTCAGAAAAGACCCTGGGCCCATATTTTTTTGGTTCTGTTGCTCTACTTGTGGAGATTCTGTCCCCTTCAGGTCTTTCTATTTCTCCCCTCTCTTTTAAGAGCCCCTGCACTCTGCCCAAAGTTTGGCTATGAGTCTCAGAATCTGCTTTGATACCCTCTTTCAGAGGTCCTCTGTGGTAGGTGCTGCAATTCTGAATTTAAGTAGAAAATGGGTATTTATTTTTCTTGCTATGGGAGTAAACCTGGGAAACTGGAGTTAAAACTCCAAGCAAGCCTTGTGTCCCTAAAACTTATGGGATGCTTTTGTGATATAGCTGTGGACACTTTCAGTGTGAAATTTGGGACCTTACTGTGCCACCAACTGGAAGCCTTGATCCTGCCTCTGTGAACAGGAATCGAGAGATATATTAAGCCAAACAATGAAATGTTAGTTCAGTCCCTCTGGAAAATGGGTTTCTTTTTTGAAAATCATTGCCAGATGGGGACTGAAGCCTTGGGACATTATGCTTCTACAGTCAGACTCATAATTTACACCCAATAAGTTGCAACTGTCTTCAAAACATCTTGCTCCCAACAAATTGAAAAATATCCTGAGAAATGAGGTTTCTCCCTGTAGCACACATTGAGAGATGTCATCAGAGTTGAGGCTGATCATGAATCAAATATTGACGTTAGAGCGGAACTTGCTTTTTCATTTACTCTCTGTGTGGCTTTGTGTGTGTGTGTGTGTGTGTGTGTGTGTGTGTGTGTGTGTGTGTGT